CTTATGTAGACTGGTATAAGCTTATTCTGTAACACTGACTAATAAACTTATAGAATTATTTAGCCCCAACAAGCACATTGTTAAACTAAAACATTTTGCATTCATAAAGGAGTTTTCCATTCAAGAAAACTAAATGGTTCCACAAATATATGGTTGTAGTTGCGCATGCAGTTTGGCAGTAGAAAACAAAGTAGACTAAAGCCAAATGATGGTGAACTGCTTTGAGGTTTTGGTGAGGGAAATGAAAGTGTGATTATGATTATGAATGCAGTGCAAAATGTTATCAAATGTTACCAATTAAGTACAGACTTGAAATATTGATAAGAGTTACATTTAAAAAATATATTTTACTTACATTTATGAATTAGGCTGGTGCATTTTTCCAAAGCAACTTACAATACAATGTACTAATATTTTTCCAGTTCATTGTATGCATTCCCTGGGAACTAAATCCATGACTTTAGTTTTACTAGCACCATGACAAAAAACATCCATCTTGTGGCCTTGCAGCGAGATGGATGGCTTGAGGGAAGACGGGTTGAGGTTCAGGAGGAGAACGAGGGACCGGGGAGGTGCTGGAAACCCATAGAGGGTAGATGGGAAGAACCAGGGCAGAGCAGACAGCAGCAGAAGCCATGGAGGAGATGAAGGGAGGAACTATGGAGGTGAGGATAGTGGAATGATACAGGGAAGAACAGGCGGCCGACGAGATCCCAGAGTGACCCAGGAGACGGCCATGAGGAAGTCGACCCACTGTGACAGTGATGGATGTAGGAAACAAGGTAGTCATTTGAGCCCAATGATGCCTGGAGATGTAGAAGCCCAGGTGGAGTCTGTAGGGCCGAGAAACGCAGTGACCCAGAAGGACTGGGAGACCAAGTCGGAGTTCTGGCGACGAGTGGCTGAAGTGGAGCCATCGGGCCGGAGGACTGAGGCGACGCCGGTGGAGCCTGAGAAATGAGAAAGCGGAGAAAGCTTGACAGAACCATAGGGGTGGATGGATGGAGTGCAGCAGACAGCCAGGAAGTGGTGATAGTGGGGCGACGACTGACCAAGGTGGAGCCTGTGGGATGAGGGAGCACAATGAGACCGAAGGGACGATGGTCCCATGTGGAGCCCAGGAGCCAGGGGACAGGCAATTGGCTTTATGCACAGTTGCACTACTTCCTGAACTTAAGCCAGCTCCTTGTTTCCTGTCTGCCATTATTGGGCAAAATTGATTAATCCAGGTGTGCCTGACCTCAGTAGTCATGGCAACAATAATCAGACACACCTGAATTAATCAAGTTCGGCCAATAATGGCAGACAGGAAACAAGGAGCTGGCTTAAGTTCAGGAAGTAGTGCAGCTGTGCATAGTGCATAAGGTCACTTGGTCAACAGGCAGAGGTAAAACTCCTGGTTCTGAGGGACGAGGTGGGGCTCTGGACTAGAAGACCCAAGGTGGATCAGGGCTACATGGCAGGGCTGATGGTGGAGGCTAAAGGGAGCCAGAGGTGGTGGAGACGAGGGAATGGCTGGCTTCGGTGGAGTGTGCCGGAGAGGAAGACTGGGTGTGGAAGCAAGCTCTGTGATGGATATACCTGGTGGTAACGAAGACAACCAGGTGCTGGACAATGATAGTGGTGACAAAGAACACACTGTGATGGACGGTGCTGGTGGCGAAAATGAATCTGTGTGCTGGCCGCGGAATCTTCAATCCCCTTTGCCTACACCAAAAGAAGATCCATTGGACAGTGTCCAGGAGTTCCCTCATGGCATCACCAACCGGATCTCTTTGTCGAGTCCGATCTAAAACCTTTCCATGAGCGTGATCTTGATGCAATAGGTGAGGTGGCAGATGCCGACGAATTCCTCCACATACTCCTCCAGGTCTCTTCCTCCTTAGGAGATAAAAAGGCCCTGTTGGCCTTGAGCAAGCTCCCCATGGGAGCTACATTAATGGAGTCAATCTACATCTTCACTTCTTTGTAGGTCCAGTATTCTGTCACACTTAATCCAGAGGATGATGATAAAGATGAAAAAATAGTATAAATAACAAAAAGTGTTTGTTAAATAAAACAAACCAAGGTAATTCAAAGATAAAGATAAACTGAGAACAAAGAATGTACTTAAACATACAGTGATGATGACTAAAAAATGGACAGGTGTGATGATTGAAAGAGTGTCCGACAACTAGCGGGAAACTAGAACAAAGGGAACAGAAAACTAGAGAGAAACAAACTAAAAGGCGGGGCGAAGCAGCTCATTTGCATTTAAAGGGACACATACAAAAACCAAGTATTTTTACCCACGACCAAAAAGAGGAATTTCACAGACACATTTTGGGGACACCATAGATTTAAATTACTTCTCATGAAAAGGGGCATATGTGACCTTTAAGGTTTATTGCATTATTTAGTGTCATTATATATATGAAATATAAGTTTCTTGTCTTCTTTATTCTAGCCTCTACACTTTTCACCAATTTCACTTTCATTGTATGTAAAACGAAATATTTGCACTGTTCAAGCAATAGCTAAGCATTATCTGTGAAATGAAACGAAAAAGAATATACTCTTTCTAGAACTTTTAAGTTTCATTCTTGAGTTCAACTGTTTTAACCATCGGTCTCACTAAGCCTACTGCCTAAACCTGAGGGAAAAAACAGCTTTCCAACCAACAACAGTAGTTCTTAAACTCAGCATTTTACCCACCTGTTGAAATTCATTAGTGCCTTAATTGTTCCAATTAAGCTTCTGCCCTCTTGCCTAGGGTGCTTACACATCAAAGGAAGCTATTAAAAAAGACAACAAAAACCATTTCTGAGTTGTGAGCCTGTTGGCCAATGAAACAGTGTGTGTATTATTGCGTGCTGCAGTGTATGTGTATTTCAGGAGGGGAGATCTGGCAGCGTGTGAACATGGACATAATGAATGTGTGTGTGTGTGTGTGTCTCATAACAGGGGATATTACAGTAATGAGGTACCAGGATGTCTGGACTCTTATTGCTCCCCACCTGTGTCTCACTTCCCCCGTGATCGAGGAGTGTGTGTGAATGTGTGGGAGTTGGTGTAATGTCTGTGAGGTTTGTGACCGGACAGCTCAGACTACCGGTCTTTTCTCTGGTGCGTTCAGTGATCGGTGATGTGACAGCTGAACGTCAGGACCACACACTCACACACACGCATACAGCAAAGCAATCACCACTGATTGGTAACCCGCTAACACACCCACACACATAATCAGACACACACGCCCTTTGGATTAGGGACTTAAACAGACTCACCAACAACCACCCAAGAGACCCCCATCAGGGCATGCAGGCAGAGAGAGTCGGTGAGTGACTAACTTCACTCTTTCTTTTATTCTTTTCCCAGCTGTGTCTTCAAACAGCCCTTTGATGTGGGAAATTAAAAGAGCGAGTGTGTCAATATCTCCCTCCATCCCTCCATCGCTCCTGCACACTCATCCATTTCCCTTCCTTCCATCTCTTCCTCTCTCCTCCCTTTTTTCTTTACAGCTGACCCAACAAAACCAAAATGTGACCCTGCAACCACATTACCTCCACACACCCTGTGTGCGTGTGAGAGTATATGAGAAAGTGGGAAAATGAATGCTTGTGTGTGAACAGGGCTTTATGTATATGCATTAGTGAGTGAGGATGCTGCAACCATCAAAAATGGGGGTGACGTTTCATTAAACATACGGTCATTAAATGTAAGTTTCATGAAAAATGGTATACGAATGATATACGGTATTTTTAATTCTTGAAATGTGTTTAAAAAGATTTTAATTTTCTTTATTGTAGACACTCTTATTTGTCATTTATTTGACCTATGACCCATCAAAAGTGACAAGAAAATGGAGGACTTAGAATGAGATTCGGGATGCAGGCTGGATTTAAACCCCAGTGTCTGCACTGTGCCATAGATCCAGTGTTCCCCCACTTTTTGTCAGATAATAATTCCCATACCTTAACATGTCCCCCCTCTCACACATTTCGAGTCGTTCCTATACCCCTGAGTGAGTTTTTCTTCACTTTCGTGAAAATGGAAAGGTCAGCTATTAATGCCGCATGTGTATGTAAGGTTGCATTAACCCCTCAGCCATATTCTCTCTGTCTGGAAACTCCTCTCTGCTTCTGTTGCAACACTGTGCTATGCTTTATTGCATGTGACTCTGTGTTTCCAGTGCCATGCACTGGTTTCTGTATATGCTAAATTAACCTTCCCCCTCTCTCTCCCTCTCTCTCTAACTCTGCTGCCTCTCTTTTTTGCTCTTGAAGGGTTAGTGCTAATGTTCTGCAAATTCCCTAACTGTTACTATGCAACACTTACAGGCCTTACTATGCAACACCTTTCTCTTTTATTCCTTCTCTCACTCTTTCCTTTACCCTGGAGAGAAATAAGAGGGAGCGTCAGTGAACGAAAAGGGTGGAAATAACAGACTGCTGTTTCAGGAGCGAAGTTTGAATAGGTGCATGGTAAATATGCGCAATGCAGCGTCCCCCTTTACATTACATTATGCAAATAATGCAGCCTATTTATTTATTCCTAATATAACGGGGCTGAGAGAAAGACAGAACGGGAGAGTTATCAAACTCAGATCGACTGATACAAAATGAAACAATGGGCTTTTTAAACTTTTGTAGTGATAAAGGGAGAGAGGGGAAGAGATCTGCAGATGAAAAGATAAAGAGATGGACGATTTGATTGCCATAGATCGCATAGCGGGATGGTGCAGAGGAAGAGAGATAGCAGGATAGATATAGGCAGACCTAGAGAATACGATATTGCCAAAGGAAAAAAAATAAAAACAACAGAAACTTCTTTTTTTTTTTTTTTTCTTCAAAAATTCGCAAAAGGAGACAGACAGTGCCGATGGGCGGGAAGCGCGTGCTCTGAAGAGAAGGCGAGTGTGTGTGTGTGTGTGTGTGTGTGTGTGTGAGAGAGAGTGTTTTTATGAATGAAGTGGTGACTCAGGATGTGTCATACCCCCGTCTTTATAAAGGAAGTTTTAAACAAGCCTAAACATTTCACTTCGCGAAAAATTAGACTTACCCTCGCATCCTTCTCTCTCTCTGTCTCTCCCTCCATACACCTCTCTGACCGTGTCTCTTTCCATCCTCACTCGCGTTTGTTAAAACTAAACAACTATTGGAACTGGACACAGTCAGGTTTTGGTGCTGTTTTCTTGTTCTTGTTAATCCTACACTTCTGTCATTCATTCATTTTCTTCTTCACCTCACGCTCTTCCTCTGTAGCCTTGCTACTGTCGCGAGCCGTTCGCGCGGATACTGAGAGAGAGAGAGAGAGACGAACTTTGGAGCACGTGACAACATCTGGAGCTTCATTTATTTATTCTTTTGATACATTTGTTTGTTTATTTGTCTGCGTATTTATTTGCAACATATCTGCTTTTTTTAAAACAAGGACCTGGACAAATATGAAATGTAAGTGTCAAATTGTTTATAGCTACATCCCTCTGTTACTACTTTCCCCCTTTTTTATCACCGTCACTAATTTGCTATTTCCACTGTTGCGATTGACACTTGTTGCTTTAACTCATCTAATCGCCTTTTGTTATTAAACCCCCTTACTGTTTAACTTATTTATGCCGCCTAAGATAAAACTATGTAACTATTAAGCATCCGTATATAGCCTACTGATTTATTAAACTGACAAGCCTTTAATTTGATTTATAAATGCGGGACTTTTTAATGGAAACCTGTTCGGGATGTTAGTAGCCTATAATGTGTAAAGTTAGTTTGACAGGATAATGGCTCGAGGCGCTCGCGGTTAGTTCATTAGAGAAGCATTTATCATGTCGACATAATAATGGATCAAGTGTTACTCGCTCAGGGCGCACTGCAGCTTCAGCGGACCGCTTTTTCTTCTAGTGTGATGCAACATGTGCGATTCTCCCAAAAAGATGACAGAAGTGTCCTCTGGGTACTGAGAGTATTGATATGCTTTTTGGACGTGTGGAAACACGGTCCCATTATAAGAGTGACACGCGCTCCTTGGACGAACATTGGAGTATTGTTTATAGCTGTGCATCAATGATTTGCTCTCCTCCTCAGTGCTGGGTGACTCCTCCTCATCGCTGCTCCTCTCGCTGCTGTTGGCTCAACTGCATCTGTTAGCATCTGCCTTCCCTGCCCACCCCCGGAGGATCCAAACTGACTTTGACAAGCTGACCAATCAGACCAGACACCTTCTGAAGCTGACTCAGGACCTACTGGTGAGTTGATGTACTGTGACACCAGGAGAGGAAGCTCACACTGTACTCAGAGATGCTGATGATGATCAGATCTTGATCTCGAGCCTCTGAACAGCTGGGCTATAATAATGCTCCTTGCAAACGATTTGTGGACAGGAATTGGCTTATCTCTGGCGCTTTCGCTCACACACAAACATGCGCACACACCCGTCAATCGGCTTTTTATTCAGCTGGCTCATATTAGAGCTGAGATAGCAGATTGCGGTAGCTTTGAGTCCATGTGGGAGCAGATAAGGCTCATTACTGTTGCCTCTATCTGACAAAAAAAAAAAAAAAAAAATCAGATCCCTGGATTCAGGCCCAGCAGCAGGACTGACATCCCAGACAGCATCAAAGATTGTAATGTCAACCTAATGAGATGGGGTTTAACCTACGGGATGGGGGTTAAACACGATCTGCATGGCTCAGAATGAGCCTTGAGCTTGTGTCCAGCGCTCAGACCATCTGAGAGCAAAATGCATTGGGTTTTTGTGGTTGCTATATGATGGAGATCTGTACTTTGAGGGTCTTGAACCCACATTGCCCCCCTCACCTCTCCAAGGCCTCACTTTCCTTCCTCGGAAACATAAACAGATCCTTGTTCCCATGGTTACTTGGAAGTCCTGTTTACCAGCACGGGTTGAAGCACGTGGCACAGAAAGGTGAAAAGTACAGTGCTGCCTTCTATGTAGTTCCACTGTAAATAAAAATGTTAACAGATGTAGTGCTGCTTAATGGCATAGGATGAGGCTTGATTATATGTTGGAATATGATTCCAGATCATTGGGGTTCGTATTGCAAGGTATAAAAGACAATTATGTCTTGCCAGGATGACTTTATTCTGTGGAACACACAAAAAAGAGAGAACTGAACAAAATTACTATAAAAATAAAATCTAATTCAAAATGTTAATAAAACTATGATAGTATATAAATGAGACTAAAATAAAATTGGAATGTTTTAAACATTCTTTAAAATATCTTGTTACACTGAAGAAAGAAAGTCTTTGTGGAACGACGCGAGAGAGTAAATGTTGACAACTTTCATTTTCATTCCTACCGCTTTAAGAAGTATTTCTGCTGTTCTTTTGACCCTGCGTGGTCTTTGATTCCAGTTTTCATTGATATTATGTGCAACTCAAATGATTACTCATCTCGAACAGGACGGATTTTCCTTTCAGCACAGAGAACCACCTGATCTGAATCCATCACTTATGTATTCAAAATCCCGTGCCACCTCTCCCAGCTCTTTGCTTCAATTAGACACAATAATGGTTGGTTGTGAGTGTGTGTGCGTCTTGTATATAAGGGAGTTTTGCGTCTGCCGCCTTGTATATGTGCACCAGATGTTACTCTATCAAAGACCCCACTGGTGACAAAAGGGCCCGACACACTTTGAAAAACATTTTGTTAGTTTTTCAATGACATGAAGCATTTATTTTGGTTTCTTTTCTTCTTGCATGGAGTTCCACTTTACAGGGGTCAAGGCTAGGAAAGAAAAATAGAATGGGAGTCGACGGAAAGTCCCCACAAGAAAGCTATAAAACTCTGTGTGTGCGTGTATGTACAGAATGTGTTACTGTTACTTGTGTGAGGTGGTGAGAGTGTGTATACATGCGATGTTTGTATGACCGTGTGTGCGTGCCGGTGAGAGTGTGCATGTTGTAAATACTTGTGGTCTGTGTAGGTGTGGGGCTGCTTGTTTGGCTTTCGGTCTCCACAGCAAAGTGTCCTGATAAAAATCACTCCGATTTATCACATTCCCGTATTTGCATTCAGGAAGGCGGGAGGAGGGAGGGCACAAGAATCAGTCGAGTGAGGTCACGATCCAAACGGAGAGAAGGGGACATGCGACCGATGAGATGAAGAGATCAGAGAGCACTCTGGATGTGTGTGATGATAGTCCCACTAAGATGGACAGTGAGCTAAAGGATGGATGTGTCATCATTTGGCTGATACTACGAGCCAGAGAAAAAAGAGGGATGCAGAGCTGAGGGAGCACAAAAACAACAACAAACCAAGGAAAAAACACATCATTCCAAACAGAAAGCCGGCTTGAGCACGCTATTATTTTCGTCACGTTGACCTCTGATTGGTCTGCGATGTTGTTTTCTTCTTGAAAGACACGAAGGGAGCATTACACCTGCCATTTTATCAGCACTCATTAGCGCTCACAAACAACCCTTCGGATGACTTGTAAACAGTCCCTGCTTCGTTCACGTGGCGGCCACATTAGGAACCGCAGATATTGTAACGCATTGTCTAAACACGGACGAGAGCAAGTTAGGGTCACTCGTTGCCCCTAATGATATCTTGCAAACACCTGAGTTTGTTTCTGTCTCCCTCTAGTGCCACGTGACGACAGTGCAGCGAGCCACGAACCGGCCCATACGTCATGGCACCTTTTTTTAGTCCTGACCCTGGAGTTTCCCTGCTGCCCAGTGTTGTCTATTCCACTTTAAACTCCTTAGTCATTGCTTATGTTGTTATTCTTCCTCTAGAAAACATCCTGTGGCTTCAGGTCACGAACTTGAATTGTCTAGGTTCAGAAGTTAAAGCTCGGGGAACTCTGGGTGACTGCCGTTCCCTGTAATTCTGCGGTGGTTCTGCTAGTGGATGCCAGTCGTTTCTTTTCTGGCTCTGCTGTTACTCTTTTGTTTTGATTGTTGAGTTCAAAGTTGGGGATCTAGAACTTAGGTGTGACTAGAGGAAAGTGCCATGACGTTTCCATTCAGAATATGCCGTTTTTGACTTTTTATTGATGGCCGTTCTGTCTTTTTTCCTTTGTTTTCAGAAAGACCCGGTGTTTGGTGCAGAGATTGATCACCACAGGTTCAAGTCTCTTCCAGCGATCAGCAGCAGAGTCAGTGACCTCACCACTCTGGAGGTGTGTATGAGGACAAATACAAATAGGCCTTCGTGCTGCTCTTTATTTTCATTATTTACCTCTTTAACAGCACAGAGCCATCCCAAGCAAGGGGGTCCCAATTGGTCAATTCATAATTGCGGGGCCTGGGACTCCCTAATGCATGGGTCGCACCAGTTGCACTGCCCTGTGGATGGCCCTTTATCTGTCTGCTTTTACAATGTATTTCAATATTATCATGTTGTTTTGTTCTGAATTCTTTTACTAATGTTTTCTCGTTTTCTCTCTTGCAGTTCAAGCCTACTCTTTCTCAGCTCCATGCGGACTTGAAGTCCTTCGAGCACCATTTTGAGTGGCTGAATAGAATAACACGCAAGCAGCACCACAGCTCAGTACCAAAGTTGACTGACATGATCTCCCACATTAAGAGCCTCATAAACTCCTTACAACGTCAGGTACGTGCTCAGACGCTCATCCCTCAGCAAACGAGACAACTGTTACAAGACTGGCTTATTTTTTGTTTATAAAACCTACAAAATGTAGTAAAAATATAAAGTATAATAGTCAATCAAAGGTTTGCGGTCAGTAAGATTAAAAGAATAAGAAATGTATACTGTTATTCAACAAGGAAGCAATTAAATGAATCAAAAGGGACAAAATTACATTACATTGTTTCAAATTGGAAATTCTATTGATCGTAGAATCCTGAAAAAAAACAGTTTTCCATGGTTTCCACAAAAATGTTAAAGAGCATAACTGTTTTCAACATTGATAATAATTAGACATGTTTCAGGAGCAGCAAATCAGCATAGAATGATTTCAGAAGGATCACTATTAGTAATGATGCTGAAAACTCATTAAAATAATTTATATTATTTTAAAATATAATAAAATAGAAAACTGTCATTTTATTTGTAAATGTGTAAAAAAAAAACATAATATTGCTGTTTTCACTATATTTTTGACCAAATAAGTGCAGCCTTGGTGAGACTATGTATATATATACACTGCTCAAAAAAATAAAGGGAACACTAAAATAACACATCATAGATCTGAATGAATGAAATAATCTTATTAAATACTTTTTTCTTGTTTTTACTTACTTTTTATTTTTTTCTTGTTTATTTTTTTGAGCAGTATATATATATATATATAGTTACATGGAAATATCATCAGTGGATTCATGTTTGTGACTTTTTATTTATTATATATTTTAGATGGCCAGAGCAGAGGCTCCCCGGATCCCTGTTCCCTCTCCCTCACTTCCACCCAATCCCGCCTTTCACTGGGAGGTGGTTCAGTCCTCTCAGGAACTCCTGCAGCAGTTCCGGCTCTTCTGTGACTGGGCCTCACGAGTGTTCCTTACCCTTAAATCTAGATTACCAGCATGAGGAACCTCAACGTTTCTTTACAATACAGCAAACAAGACCAGGACTCGATCATTATTACAGTCCAGGGATGGACTGGCCATAGGGAGCAACAGGACTTTTCCCAGTGGGCTGAGTCGACTTGTGGGAAAATAATGAGTGGACTGAAGCTGAATATTTCAACTTATTCTCTCCTACCCATTTATAACGTACTGTTGTTCAGTCTCATTCAAACCTCCATTACTGTTCACTATCAAACCAAGCATACGCTTGAGAGTGAATCTGTGCCTAACACAATTCTGCATTCCCAGTCATGTACAATACGAATATTGCATATGGAACCAGGAAGACAATTATTGATTTGGCCTAATTTTAGTTCAGAATGCTTTCAATCAGCTGAAATGTAGTGCCATAGAAGTATGACCTCTCAAAAAATGAGGTCCAGTCCCAAGATAGGGGTAAATTGAGTAATAATTTGACAACATATTGGACAAACGTTGAATAATGTGAGAAAGATTTAAACATCCCCCAATGCTTTGTGCAATATTGTAGTGGGTGATTATCTGTGGTGGGTTGTTATGGGCCTTGTATGTCATAGGCCCATTTATTTTTTCATCCCAGTCCATCCCTGTCGCAGTCTGAAGCCTGATATTGAAGGAGTCCGACCTGAACTCCAGTCGACATCCTGCTTCTGATGCTCCATTTAACCGTAAACCTTCCTTTGCCTTTTCTTTTTTATACAATTCATTTTTCAGAACTATTCGTAATTTCGTAATTTATGTATTTATTTATTTATTGACTAGTTATTTATTTAATGATATTATTTATTTGATTTCTTGATACACATCAACATTGTCAACATTCTTTCATTTGCAAGTCAAGAAGTGTACTCTTTCTTATTTTATCTAACGCACACACACACACACACACACACACACAACAGCTTAATTTTTTATCTTTTATTAAACTGATTGTATTTTTATACAATTTAATTTCCTCTTCACTGTTACCTAGGTTACAGTTCTCTGCCACTAAATGTAGCAATATTTTGGGAGTGTAACGTATCAGTGCTGAAGGAGAGAGGTCTAGCACTGACCGGAAATTTGCTAGTCTTTATTTTATGTTGTTGTCTATTTTTGCACAGCATGTTTTGATAAAACTTATTTCAAGCAACATGAGAAAAAGACAACCTAAGCCTTAAAATACTATGTATTGTGATACTTTGGTACTGTAAAGCTGTACATACATGTTCCCGAATGTAAACTGGTATATACAATATGTGTTTACGTATAATATTGTTTGTACGTACAAGTCCAGTGCTCTATCAATGTGTTGCAATATTAACATAATTTTTTGCCCTTTCCTTCTCAATTTTTAGGATTTTGATACAGTATTTACTATTTATTGTTATTATAACGTTATTATTAATATAAAATGTTAATTATGTTTAAATTATTTTTTGCTATTCAGAAGCAAGACTTCTGTCATGTTTTGTACTTTTTTACTACTCACCGCCAATCATCTCTGTTTAGGTCGGTTTCTCATAGACTCAAAGTTGCTACATGTATGTGCACTAAATATGCAAAAACTGGCTGACTGTGTTCAATTGTGTGCCTTGTGAGAGAGACAATAAAGGAATTTACATGTAGCCTACATTTTTTAAATGTGTTTTTTATTTTCCATTGTCTTAAAGAGAAGGCTATAATTATGAATGCTAAAATTAAACAGAGGAAGATACCTTAAAATCATAATAACTAATCACTACTTTTTAGTTGGCATGCGCATTTTCTTACTGTTAGGTTAGTTTTTTTTGTTTTTTTTTGCAGAACTTATACAAAAAAACCAACACAGGGAAGTAAGGCAAGGTGTACAAACAAACAAACAATAGTACCTAACAGAAAATAAGCATCCTGGGTATGCATACGTCAAATTATGTAATACATAAAAAAAGAAAAGCATAATTTAAGGCCAAGTCATCTGTTAGGTTAGGTTTTATTGAACATACTGAGCAAGCGATGACGTATGTGCTGAACTACATTTCCCACAAATCCTTGCGCAGAGGCAAACCAGTGCATAACATGAAATTCCTTTGTTTATAATCAAGAATTGAGACTTGATTATGATGCGAGGTTTGTAGAATAACCTAATAGGTTTATTTCCTGTTATTTATAAACACAACTGCGGAAGCTTTACGCACATCTTAATTAAAAGTTCGTCACAGGATGTTTTTGACCAATGAGACAAACCAACAGGGGACGAGGGCGAACCAATAGGCGAAGACTTTACTGAGAGGCGGTCACAGACGGGCGACTGCTGGTTAGTTTGTGCTCTAGATTATTGTTAAGGTTGTGTGGACTAACACTGCGGACTTCGGCCTTATATCATTAAATCAAAAACGACCATTTCATAGAAACGGACCAGAGGAATAACACATGCATTGAATAATGCACCCATTCCGATAAATATTGCGACGCTTGAGGAACGAAGACAAGACTGAAATGGATTCGATAAGGCCGGATCGAGATATCACAAATAATTCAACAAACAGCCGATAAAACGATCCACTATTGATTTTTTATAGAAACTAAGGGGTGAGTGCGCTTTGGCCAATTGAATCCTTTTATCTTCATTTTTTTGTTTAGTTTTTTCCCCCTTTTCCCTGGGACAAGAAGGCAGCAACACACAGATAGATAGCGGGTGAGGGAGGGGGAGTGAAACAGGAGGAGGAGGAGGAACTTTAAAGGAGAAGGTGGGTCAATTCTCTGATGCTCTGTTTACTGATGATGAGATACACTGATGATCAATTATTCCTGGAAAATAATTTTTGTTGAAATAACATGCAGTCTTGTCTAAAGGCTTTCTAATACCTGGGACAATCTAATTTATTTATTTCCATTACACATTAAATGACTAGCATAATAGTTTCATAGATTTTTAGAATATCTTCGTATTTTGTTAGTCTTAGTTTTTTAATTTAACGACACTTCACAGTTTTGTTGCATGATTTGAGAATGATCCAAGGATCATCTAGTACTCAATGGAAGAACATTTGACCTTCTGTACAAAGCATATGATCAGTGTGTCACACATTTACTTGATTAGTGTCTTTAGAAATAGGGCGTAATCTAAAATGTATCCTATTTATTTTGTATCATGACCGATTTTAAACATTTTTTCCTAGGCTCAAATTGCGTTAAAATCAGAGCTTTTTTCCCATCTGTTTTTGCTTCAGTAAAGTAAAACTAAATATAGAATTTTAAATTTTTCATATTAATATTACTACAAACTGTTTTAATGATTTGCTTTGACGTGTTCTGATGAGTGTTTCTAAATGTCTCTTGAATTTCATTGACAATGGCAGACCATAATTCAAATTTCAAAACACATTCTGCATAGCACAAACTATGTTTATTCTCATTTTAAGTGTATTCTGGGTTTCATATTTACTTTTACCTTGCACTTGTATTCATAGTTTTTGAGGAAATGCTATTCAAGCTGATGTTGACATCTGCCTAATTTGACTTGCTTCCACCGAGAGCCAAAATACCTTAAACAAATCATACGAGGAACATATTTTTAATATTGCACTCATGATTATAAGTATAGTTGCATTTTTTCTTGTATACATATAATGCATCTTAATTCTATTTATGTATTTAAATGTATAGCTCTATCAACTAAGGAGAAGACGACAGAAGATTTTCATCTTCAGAAAAGATTCCAAAACTGGCCCAAACTCCATCAAACAGAAGCCATGGCTGCCATAATTAGAGCAAAACTGCAAAACTGAGATCCCTTCACTACAGCCCAACCTTTTCTGATGGCCAACTCTGTTGCTACTCTGGTGGTCCAAACCGAACTCTTATCTTCTCAAACATCCTCCTCCCTCTCTCCCTTTCCTTCCCTCCTCCCCTCCACAGAGGATGGAGAAGAGGATGGTGAAAGGGGAGAAGAAGAGGGCAAAGAGTCAGTAACAGTCGGGCTTACAGGTGACATGGTGACATCATCATCACCCCCCCTTGCAACAGTGGCTCCAAACCCAGAGCATCCATTCCAGTGTTTGGACTGTGGGAAGAGTTTTAAGTGGTCATCCAGACTGGCACATCATCAGAGAAGCCATAACAACGAAAGGCCATATCGCTGTAACCTTTGCCCTAAGGCCTTCAAGGGTTCATCTGCCCTACTATACCACCAGAGGTGAGAGGTCAAATGATTCTAGATATGGGTTGACATGCTAGGTCACAAAGCCCGATGTGATTCTGTGCTGACTACTTTATTTTGTTTTATTATTTCGATTCACCACAATTTTTACTTCATAAAGTTGGTTTGTTTGTTATTTAAGGTCTCATTCTGGAGAGAAGCCCTATAAGTGTGATGACTGTGGTAAAGCATTCAAACGCTCTTCTCTTCTACAGGTGAGCCATTCCAATCTCAAGCAATGTCACCATATATGTCTTTATGGTCCAGATAAATCAAACAGGGTTCTGATTATTAATAGAAAGTAAAAAAAAAACAGTTTTTATTTGAAATAGAATTTTCTGTAACAATGTAAAAGTCTTGCTGTCACTTTTGACCAATAAAATGTGTCTTTGCCAAATAAAATATTAATTTCTCTCCAAAGAAAGTATGACTGATTCCAAACTTTTGAACGTTTGGTTTTTATTATTTTTATTTTAAAATGAAAATAAATAATTGATTTCATGAATGTTTTATGTAGCATTCCTAGCCCTCTGATAGCTGGAGATTATTATGTACATCCTTATGCCGAGTTCAGACTGCATGATTTTTAGCCACGAATTTGGCTCGCCGAGAAATCGCCCGAAATCACAGGCAAATCGGCGCTCGTTCACGCGAGTGTCACAAAGTGTGAATGAGCAAATCACCAACGTGTCGCTGACGCCCGTGAGATATTTGGCATGCTAAATATCTGGACCTGTCGGTGAAAATCCTGCTGTGTGAAAAGTGTTCTGACTGAAAACTACATCATCGATTACCGCCAGCCAATGAGAGAGCAAGATACAGAGCAGCGGGGAGTTCGGGGAGGAGTTATAGATCACATATGAACATGCATGGCATTGTTTCAGAAAAAGGCTTCTTCTCTGTCTATTTGGACCCAAGAAATGGAAGAAAAATTAGTCGAAATTTGGCAGGAGCACCCATCTTTGTTTGACGTTTCATCTAAGCTGTACCACAACACAACTGGGTCGAAAAAGAAAAAAGTCTTGTGCGCAGCGTCATGCAGTGTGAAAACTTCTGTCGCCGATCCATCGTGCAGTGTGAACACAGCAGTGACTGAATGCTGGCCAAGATAGTCATCCAGTGTGAAAAGGACAGCGACCCAACTACTTTGAAAATCGTGCAGTCTGAACTACGCATTACTGTAGTTTTAACCACTCTTTCTGAGAATCGATGAATGTATTTGGTCTTAAAGGTGACTTTCTTCAAATATAACAATTGTAGCAACTTGATTTCATTCTTACCACAATGGTTTTTATATCCAGATTCACCGCAGTGTGCATACAGGTCTTCGCACTTTCCAGTGCTCCTACTGCCCTTTAACCTTCAAATGGAGCTCACACTACCAGTATCACCTCCGCCAGCACACTGGTGAATGTCCGTACCCGTGTGACAGCTGCTCCAAAGCCTTCAAGAACTCCAGCAGCCTGCGTCGCCATAAGAATGTACACCTGGGCTTCAAGCCCTACGTCTGTGATGTCTGCACTAAGGCCTTCAGTCAGTCCACTAATCTGCGACAGCACATGCGCATACACACGGGAGAGCGTCCATATATCTGTAGGGATTGTGGTCGCAGCTTCACACATTCGTCCAACTTGGCTTTGCATCGCATCTCTCACGAAGAAGGAAAGGCGAAGAGTGCTGGGAAGGCCGGAGGGGCCGGTTCAGAGCCAGCAACTCGAGAGATGGAGGTGGTGCTGACGGAGGATTTGAACACCGTAGGGATGAGCATTTCTGAAATGGTGGGCCTCGTGGGTGGACAGGAGGGAGGAGTCGGACAGGTGTTCCTGTCTCAGTGTACGTCCTCGCCTGCTACCTCAGGCACAGCCAATCAGAACATTCTGCCACAGCTGACGCTCACACCCACTTCCTCTGCTGTCACGGGCACAGAGCATATCCACATGGGCAAGACTGACACGGGTGCCAGTGTTTTGCTGTTTAGCTGTGGTAGCTGTAATGAGACATTTTCAACTCAGAGTCACCTCGAGGCACATCAGACTCTACACCTAGATGGCCTTGGTCCAGCAGGCGGTGGAGAGGTTGTTACAGAAAATAGCACGGAGGGAGGTGGGGTGTCACTGGTGGGGGCTACGCCATTGTTGGCAGACTTTGAAGAGGTTGTTGAAACCACCGCAGTTGCAGATAGCGGTCAGGGGGCAGAGTTACTTGGTTTGGATGCGGTTAGAAATGAGTCAGGGCAGGCACAGTATGATCTACTTCAGACCTTCACCGCGTCTGTGAATCAGATGTCCACTGAGGCCAGTGTCTCAACTGCTCAAACCACTACAGAATGTGCCTACTGTGGGAAGAGTTTCAAGACCAGCAGTGGACTGACCAGACACATGGCTCAGGTAAGACCAAAACAATTCTTGTCAAAGAAGAGCTTTTTCGGAAACAACCTTCATTTCTCATTATCTGTTTTTTTTTTTTAAGGCCCATCCTCTCGCTCTGTCTGAGACGCGTTCTCAGTTCAACTGCTCGGCATGTGACCGCTCCTTTCCTCTGCTCTCCTCTCTGCTCAACCACCAGCACTCCCACACTCCCGAGCAGAGGTTGCTTGCTGAGGCGGAGGCGGAAGTAGAGATTGTCTGTCCCTCTCTCTCAATGCCCCTGCCCTCCTTAAAAAGAGATGGTGAAGATGGAGAGAGAGAGATCCATGTCAGTCTAATTGCTGTCACAGAGGAGGGAGAGAGACGAGCTGTGAAGCCATCTGCCAAAGCATCAGGGAAGGGAAGCAGGAGAGGTGGAAGTAGCAAGACATCTGCCACAAATAACGGTAAGGGTGCTGCCGTGGATGTTAAACCATTTGTTTGGTTTATATTCAAAATCTGGCTTCTCTGACTGAGGTTTTTATTTTTATATTTATTATAAATTTATGCTATTTGTTCTCAAGCTTTTGATTATATGAAGACCTTGCATCTTTCTATTAAAACCCCCCATTTGAACATAGTCTCACACAACGTGATCCTTATCTCACGATGGTATTTCTGTTTATATTCCCTATAGAGAGGCCATATCGCTGCTCTGAATGTGGGAAGTCATTTAAAGGTTCATCAGGACTTAGGTACCATATGAGAGATCACACTGGGGAGAGACCGTATCGATGCACAGAGTGTGGCAAGAGCTTCAAAAGGTCCTCACTGCTCTCCATACACCAAAGGGTAAACACAACTGCTTTTCAACTTGATGTTTTGATTTGTTACTGTGCAAGAGCAATGCAAAAAAAGTATACTTTGCATTATTAAATCAATTCTGTGATGTATTTGCTACATTAATTACATTTTAAATATTTTTAAGGACAAATGTGAATGTTTTGATGTACTTTTAATTTTTTCCCTGTGCATTTATAATTAATTAATTATTTATTTATCATAATATATGTCATAAAAAGGGAATGGATCTGCCAAGTTTCAAAGGCACCATGAAAGTATCCTAAAAGTTGTCTTTACTTGTACTATACTGCTCAGGTCTTTTATAGTCACAATTTTGTAATAGAAATAAAATTAAATAAGAAATTAATATCAGAAATACACGTGAATAGCTAAACACAAACAAACATGACGTACGCACTAGTTCTCCTTGGCGTCAACCAGTTATATCTTTGGAATTACAATCGTTTGATCTGGGTTTTTTTTTAAAGGTCTGAATAGATAATTCATGGGCTGATCCAATTCACAAGTTGATTTAGTTGCAGCAGTGAGCAGCTCACTAAAAGGAAAGCTTACTATTAACATCAACGAGTCATACACTTATTATGCATTTATGTTGCTTTCGTGTGTTTTTAAGTTTAAAAGTTCCACTTAAAGGTGCTATATGTAACTTTTCTTCTAAAATAAATCCTTTTTTTATTGCATGTGTGTGAAATGACCTGCCTCCAGCACAACACACACTCCAACACAAACTCCACATAAATATAAAAAAACAAAACAAAAATGTATTAGGCCAAACGTGAATCGGATCGACTTAGGACAAAAACGCGGATCAACATCGGCAGAGCGTTTGAATTATGGAGACCTGCTGTTTTTATTGTGATAAATTACAAGTCTTCAGATATGATGAAATAATGGAAAACTATAACGAAATAGCAAGGTAAAATACAACATATATGAGACATGGAATGAATACACAAGACTGTTCCAGAATAACAAAGTAGGTGATTTAGGATGTAAATTTTATGTACTAGATTTACTGTCTAACGTCACTCATCCCACTACGATCATATTAATTATAATACACATTTCCAGACATGTTCAGTACAGTAATGATACTTCCTACTTCCGTTTTTGTTATCAAATTATACATTCACCTATGTTGACATTGCTGATTGTGAAACATACACGAATAGTTACTTAGTGAAATGCCTTATGCTAGATAACACCACAAATGTAACTTTATCATGAAAAATTGGTTGCAATCTGAATGAAACATCACTGATATAGGCTGTTAAAAAAATACATATAGCACCTTTACTTTTAAGTGCATGGCAATTGACCAGTAGATATTCACATAATTAAAATATCTGGGGGAAGTATTTCTTGAATTTTGTTTATGTTTTCAAAATCAGCTAAAAACCAAGATAAATATTAAAACATCTTGAAAATTATTCTTATCCCATATAGGTCCACACAGGTGTGCGGGCTTTTCAGTGCCCCTACTGTCCACTGACCTTTAAATGGAGCTCACACTACCAGTACCATCTTCGCCAGCACACCGGTGAGAGGCCATATGTATGTCAGGAATGTGGAAAGTCTTTCAAGAACACCAGCTGTCTCCGTCGCCATAGTCAGCTCCATTCTGGCCTACGTCCACATGCTTGCTCTGTATGCGGTAAGGCTTTCTCTCAGACCTCCAACCTCAAACAACACGAACGGACACACTCTGGAGAAAGGCCCTTTCAGTGCCCCCAGTGCCACAAGAGCTTCACCCACTCATCTAATCTGCAGCTGCACCTACGCACACACTCCTCGCGCAAGGACTTCAAGTGCCAACACTGCGGAAAAGAGTTTGTCATGCTCTCCTACCTGCAAAGGCACTTGAGAACTCACAGTTCTGGGGGTGCAATAGCGTGTACAAAGGAAGCAGGAAAGGTGGCTAAAGGTATCGGGCCTTCAGAGACAGCAACGCTAAATTTAAACTTGAATGTACCTGGAGGACTTACCTCATTGTTTCCTAGTGATGGCAATTCCACGTTGATTCTTTCACCCCCAAATCTTGACATACCTCCAAACACATCACAGAATTATTTTATGATCCAGACAACTTCAGGGCTCCAACTAATCCCACTCTCCAATCCCACTCCAACACAGCAAGTCCTCCCTCCACCACCCCCTCCTCCCCCACCACCTCCACAGACGCAGAATTTTCTGCTACTTCAGTGCCAGTCTAACAATGGTAACCAACCTAGTCTGATCCTGGTCCCCACTGCATCCGGTACAAACACTCTTCCCGCCTCTTCAGAACAGACCCTCCCCTTGCTGCAGACCATTCAGGCAATACCCCAAGTTTTGGCGGCACCCCAAACTCAAATTCAGCAATTTCAACCAGTTCAGACACAGCAGAGATTTATTTTGACCAATAATAATGCTCCCCTCATCACTCCCCAGCCTCAAAGCACATCGACGATGACTCGTCCCATTTTAGGAAGCCTCGGTCGTAGCAGGAAAGGTGGAAATAGGCGTGGACGGAAGCCTAAAGCTGCTACTCCAAAATCCCCTCCTACTGTTCAGACCACACTAGTCAAGCAACCATTTATGTTTTCAGCTGCTACTCCCACATCTACTACGATATCCAGTACCACTTCTGCTGCTTCTTTAAAGACAGAGTTCCCGCAGCTTAATTCTAACAGTCCACTGGCTGTGTCGCCTGTCAGCAATAGCCAAGTACCTGAAAACCCTTCTGTCCCTGCAGTTAGCATTATGTCGGTGACGCAAAACTCTACTCTAGCAAACAGTTCTTCTGTGTTGAACGGTGATCCCGAGATTCTTCCAGTCGAGGAAAAAGCTGTCGAAGAAATTCCAAGGGAGCGTTTCGTTCTGTGCCTAAAGAAAGAAATGGAGAATGGAGATCAGGGGGATGGGATGGAGGTGAAGGTGGAGATGGAGGGAGGGAATGACGCAGGGCAGTCTTATGTCTTACAGATCGAAGGTGAGGGCCAGGGAGAAGAGGGAGGGAATAGTGGGGGAAGAGAGAAGTCATATGTTCTCCGGTTTCAAACAGAGGGAGAATGCGAGGGTGATGCAGGAAAAGAGAAGACCGAAATGGTCTCCCTTAACTTACTCCAAGAGTGGGCTGGACAGAGTGAGGGGCATGGAACTGCAAATACTGAGGGAAATGTTGAAGTAGAGAAGTCATTTGTGCTTCATTTCCAAGCAGAGTCTCCGAGTGAGGAGAACATTCAACCAGGCTCAGGCTACATAGGATGCCCAGGTGAGGATCTCAGCCTTTCTTGCCACCCGGGTCAAGCTTTGGTGCCTCTGGAAGGGCAGGATGTGGTGTTTGAGCTTGGTGACGAAACAAAAATTGATGGAAGCACAGGTACAGGGGACAGTGTTCAAATGATTGCACTGATAGAAGATGATGGCAACGGTTCTGGGGCAAGGGGCAGTTTTAAAAGTGCTGTTGGGGCAAACTCAGGGCAGATGGAGGGAATCTTCCAATTAGAAGGAGGAGAAGGCATTGTTATAATAGAAGTCAGCACCAGCAGTTTGAGAGAGGGTGGAATAGAGGCAGCAGATGTAGGACATAGGTTAGTGGAAGGAACTGAGGAAAAGCTAAATAATGATGCACAAGTAGTACGAGAGGAAGTAATGTCAGAAGAGTCAAAAGTTGCTGAGGCTGAGAGCATATCATCAGAGATGGAACTGATTGGAATTTAGGGCTGACTATGAATTAAATCTGATATTTGAACTGGCTTTAACACAACTCACACCTCATGACATGGTTTCACATGCAAAACTATAAGTGGCACATTTACCAGATATACAAATGTTTTAATTTCAAGTTATGGTTCTGTCATTCTAAAGTGTTTCTTTTTGAACTGTGAATAATGGTTTTAAAGATTAGGAAGCTGATGGCAGTGTTGTAGCTGTAGGACTGACACAGGACTTATGTTAATCTTACATAAACCATTTGAGTATTGTTTGTTGCATATATACTGTAGACATCCTTAGAACACCACCGTGTCTTCTTCTTAAGCTGTTGTCCCCCCAAGACTGAACTTTTGTGGGGATAGAAAGCACATAGCGGTAGTTCACCTGGTCCCTACGGAGAGCTGTTTCACAAACCACAATCATCGAATTCAGCCCAACCAAAAATAATGGTTTCTAAATGAAGAAAATCCTTGGTGTTCTTCTACATCCTGGTTGCACTGAAAAGAGAATTTATAAACTAATATGAAATATGATATGCTGTCATGTTGACAGTTACTGTACAAAGTGAACTTTTGTAAATATGTCTACTCTGTTTCTTAATATTGGTACTAGATGACAACTATCAATAAAAATAGGTATGAATGGCAGTATTTGTGTTTGCTGTTTTACTAATTTCTCAGAATTTACAAATATATTCAGATTACTTCATATGTTGGTAAATTTTTGGTTAGATTTAATGAATGCATTTCATTTTCCATTTTGATATGGATATGACAGACAACTTTTACTTTTTTTAATAAAGGGGGATTCTGCACATTGGTGTTGGTTGAGGAGATACTTCCATGTAAAGCGCTTTGAGTGCTGAAAAAAACTCAATATATGTGACGAATTACTGTTATAATCCATATTAATATAACGCCTCAAGTCAATCCAAACAGTGCGCATGCGCTTTTGCGTCGAAAGGTTAAACCGCTACGTGCGCATCCACACTAAGCAGTTTGCGCAGGCTCGTATTCCCGGATAGGGATAGGTTGAAGTAATATTCCATGCGGGAAGACAACACTGAATCCTCAAGTCCTGGCTCAAACACTACAAGAAACATCGACTGCAGATGAGGGTGTTGCTTTTCTAAGCAAACCCTGCGTCTCTGGATATTAGGTAAGTATGTCAGTCACGCATGCTCTATAAATGATCTAGCCATAGATAGAGCAATAAAGAAGGCGTCGTTTACCATATAAGGGTTTAAATTGTGTCACCAGGGTTGACGGAACAAGCTAACGGTACAGCATTCTTACGTTACTTTAAGCCTGTTAAATGCTTCATGAACAGTTGCAACAACCTGAAAGACAAACAAGCCATGAGTTGTTTTTTTTTTTTTTTTTTTTTTTTAAATATTTTATTTAGTTTTGATACATGTGGGAGATTACCCACAAGGAAGTCACATAAACCACAAGTCTATCACTTTAAATGTGTCTTTATTTGCATATTCCTACGAGAGTTTACTGTTTCTTGGAGTTGAGTACTCTAAAATAAAATGAAAATCTAGAGTGAATTCAGATTTCCCAGTTTAATGTTTAACACAAGGCATGTCTGTTTTATTTATTTTTTTATAATGTCTCCTAGGCAAGATGGTTAGATTGGATCTTGGTGAGGTAGTCCTGAAGAGGATGCAGGAGAAGGACATTGAAACTGTTAAGGCTCTCATCAAGGTGCGATTCAACATTATGTCCCTCACGGGCTGTTATTTTTTTCCTCACCCATTCTCTTTTCATTATCTTCATTTGTCATTTCTCCCAGTTTATATTTAATCTTAGGCCACATGCAATTTTCAGTGATAAGAATCTCATAATTTTAGAAATATATAAGAACTACACAGATAGAGATTAATAGGAGATAGGCCTACACCATTGAGTGGTTATTTTTGTGTTATTTCTCTACACCAGTGAAAAGTAGCCTATATAATACAAGCCAACATTGAGTATGTTTGTTGGATATTGGATTGAGTGTTGGATTGCTCACTATAAAAGAATCCTTTAGTATTAGACTGTTGTGTTTTTGTTGTCATTAATTATAGAGCAATACATTTTCATTATTTTATATATTGTGAAAGATTAAAGCCTCTTTTTGAGATACTATACCTGCTTATTCAGCTTTAATGATATATTCACTGTCTGAACAAAACAATAATAGATTTTGGAAGTGACTAAAACAGTGATATGTTAACAGTCTTTGTTGTTCAAAAGACTTGTTAAAGCAAGAATACAACATGATTTATTATATATACAGTAATTTGAAAACATCTCTTAAATATGGTTAAAGATAATATTTTTGTGTTTTGTTGATGTTATACGATGAAATGGATAAGTGGAAAAATGACTGCAAAAAGTTAGAGATTCTCAAATCACTCTTTCTCCTCTCATTCTATCTCTGTTTGCAGGAAGGATGTGAGGGAATGGAGAACCGCCTGATTCTTCACCTTCTGACCCGTCCGCTTGCTCTCTTCATGCTGGCCACCCTGTCCTCCATCCTCCGTTGTGTGCTGCACTCTTTTATCTTGGCGTTGGTCATTCCCGTCTTCATCCTCATCATCTACCTCAAGCTCACCATCCCGCGATCGGTGGGCATCTTGGGCTCCAGCAGGCCATATTGGGACTATGTGGGCAGCAGTTACCACGCAGAGACCGAGCCAGATCTACCCAATCCTTACTTCAACCAAGCCAAACTGATCACCAACCAGGAGAAAAGCAGACGCCGTAAAAAAGCCAAAGAGAAGAAGACAAACGAGAGAGAGCAGGTGGATGAGGATGAGCTGAAGGAGAGGGCAAAGGTTGCTGGAGAGGTGTGGGTTGCGGACTCTGACGGGGAGATAATGGGATGCGTGGCTAGAGACGGTTGGAGTCGGGACGGTGTTTGTAGGATCTGCAGGCTGGTGGTCCAGTCTTGGTACCGCAGAGAGGGACTGGGCAGATTGCTGGTGCAGGGCCTGGAGTCCAAAACAAAGCAGAGTGGCATACGGCGGGTCTACGCCCATGTGCCATTTCCTTCCAGGGTGGGAGAAGCTTTCTTCAGGAGGCTGGGTTATCGTCTGCAGGGCGAGACTGCAGGGACTGAGGGAGAGGAGGAGGATGAGGATTATGAAGAGCCAGAGAAGGGTTGGCTGGGGTTCCCTTTAACTAAAGTGTTTGTTAAGGATTTATAAGTGTCATTGAAACTAAAGTCTTTACAGATAAATAAAGGAATACACTGGATTCAATACAAGTTAAGCTCAATCAACCTGTGGCGTAATGTTAAATGCGACCACAACAATAATTTTGACTTTGGAGGATTTAAAGGTAAAAATGTGAAGCTAATAATTTTATAAAAGCAGTTTAATTTCTCTGTTAAAATGTGTGTAATGTGAGCAGTTAAGTTGTTTAAATAATCCTTGTTATGTTATGTTGTCATGTTTATCAAGTTGATTAGTCATTGGACAATCGACCTGAAGTTGTATATAACTTTATACAGAAAAGGTTAGTAAGCAGTTTTTCCCACACTAAAATCTTGTGGATATACTATTGAAACAGTGAGTATTTTTCCATTAACCAAGTATTTTACAATTGCCTACTTCACTTTCATTGTAAGTGCCTCACTGTAACCCCGATTTTTGCCATCATGGACCAGAACTAGTGACATATTTTCTTCTGTATTGTGTCGTACATCCTATTACAGATTATCAAAAAAAATACTTGTTAATGTTGGGGACTTGTTAGTTGTTACTGTTAGCGAATAGGATTTGTTGACTAGTCCACAACAAGATCAATAATATGCATTTACAAAATAGATTTTCTTTAATGGCAACTTTAAGGATATTTTGACTTGTCCCTTGTTGTGTTTTGTTGTGGTAATCAACATTGTGTGCTGTCAGTTGTCACAATCACTTGTCTTGAACCTGGAATAGTCCTTTGAAAATGCTTAGATTTCAAATTTATAACTGGATTTGTTCATCAGCGAATCACTGACACTAGTAACCCAGTGATGGCTGTGCTATTTTATATAAATGATGTATATTGTTGCTTAAGAGAACTGTAATGTTGAACATTACAGAATGATCACTGGGTTTCAAAGCCAGAGCCACGAAGGCGTCAATCTTGTTTATAGCATGGAATTGCTTTAAGAAATTTTTGCAGGGTTTTTTTTTTTAACTGGAACAAGTGATTTACATGTGTTTTCCTTATTTATTTACGTTATTTATTATATTGTATGTGAATTTGAGTTTTGTGAAAACATTTAGTTTGTTTCCCTTGACTGTTGATGAATGATCTCTATGAATAAAATTAAGCTCAAGGTGTAAAACCTTTTAATGTGTTTCTTCCAGGCATGGTTATCTATTTTTCTGCTTCACCGATCTTTCTTCACCAAAATATCTGTGGTTTAGCTGCACTGAAAATGCTCTCATAAATGTCACCAGAAGCAAACCCTGACACATTGTACAAACTCATTGCAAATTGAGTTCAATCTCATATCCAGCCCGATTAGTTTAAATTTGCTGCAAAACACATTGCAAGTACAGTTAATTTCCGCATGCTACTCTAAATGTGTGTGGGTGGATACAGTTTAGTGATGCTGAGTGTATTTGAAACTAAGAGCTGCTCATGCTGTGTGGTTAGCTTAAAACACCAGCTCTACCTTAACCACTCACACTACTACCCAACAGCATGTAAGGCTGCCATTCACCACCGGATGTTCATACAGTTCACTGTGTGGTCGGCTTGATGCTCACCTGCAACAGAAAGCTGCACTGTCACATTTGCTGCTAATTTAAACCTGTTTGACTATTGTTTTAAAACCACATACCTGTGAAAAAGAAGTACACTTTAAAAACATCCACTCAAGTACTTATAGTTTCTGTTTGAAATATGTTTAAACTAAAATGTACAGTCGAATGTACTGATAAGCATTTGCTGTAAACTAAAATATGCTTTGATGTAATTTCTATTGAAACTTTTATCCCATGTATTTAAGTATATTTGGAATTATGTACTTGTAATGATGAAGTTGCAATTTAGTACATTTCAAATATATTCATTTGAAATAAAATATCGAATAACACTACAGTTCACGTGTTTATATGTTAGTCACATCAAACGTGCACTTATTTAAAATACAACAAATTAAAGCACTTTAAAATTACAACTTTTAATTTTAAATGATTAAAAAGCATTTTTGAAAAGACATACTTATGTGTGTTAAGAGAGGCTGCATCCAAAATTGAATACTTTCCTACTATAGGCTATAATATGAGAAAAACAGTATGCCAAGAGAGTAGTATGTTGTCTCCTAAATGATGCACTACATGCACTTGTAAACTATGTACTTATGCACTATGTACTCAATCGTCTAGTGTACTAATTTTATAAACTGAAGCTGGTAGGTCGTGTGACAGTAACAACATGGTGGATGTAGTGCGTCCAAATTTCATTCACACTACATATCCATACTATATAGAACATACTTAATATTTAGGGCTGTCAAGCGATTAATCGTGATTAATCGCATCCAAAAGAAAAGTTTGTGTTTACATAAAATATGTGGGTGCACATTGTTAAATTATTTTGTATATATTTAAGAAATATTTTCATACTATATTTATATATAATTTACAGTATATTATATATAAATATTTTATATATAAATAATATTTTTTCGTAAATATACATGCATGTGTGTATTTATATATATACAAAATAATTATACACAGTGCACCCACATATTTTATGTAAACACAAACTTTTCTTTTGGATGCGATTAATCGCGATTAATCGTTTGACAGCCCTAATTATATTAGAATGTTTAGGTTTTAATACAGTTCCAGGATGATTTGAATTTCAACCTGAAACCTTTTTCTTCTATTGAACGCTCTTCAGTAGACTCACATTGAGATATCTAAATGAATCTACTAGAAGTAGATCCATAACGCATTTTTTTTTCTTCAGACAGTGCCGTGTCTGTCATGCACATGTACAAATCTAATGTAAAAACCTATTTTAGTACCAGCCACTAAGCTTTTATGGGCTTCAATTGTGTTAGTCAACTAATGAGCACAATTACTTCATCTTTCCTTTTGGTAGCTTTTGCAAGTCACAGTGGCTGTTTTGTTGTGGAGGAGCTTTTGTTATAATGCACAGAGCAGCTCAGGCAATTGAACACCTGCTACTATGTCCCCCTAACTGATGTGTAACTATTATTGTCACCAGGAAACAGATGTGAGTTCATGACTCTGGAAAGTAAGTGTGTTTGGAGTTGTGGTTGAGTTTGTCTGCACGATGGGTGGGTTTCGGAAAATATGACTTGGCATTTCCGGCCAAGATTCAATTAATGTGTTGTGCCCCTTTACACAATGTGGTGGTCTTCATTACCCACCATCAGCAAGAGACAGAGGAAAGTGGGCTTGGGGTCACCCGTGAGAACCAAACGTTAAAAATTCTGTCATCATTTAATTCATGAAGTTCTTGAAGATGTTTTGAAAAACGTTTCAGCTGTTTTTGTCCTTACAATGAAAGTCTAATGGGGTTCAAAACAACATCAGATCCATCTGACTTTCAAAGTATTGACTAACAAACTGAGACTGAGACTTGTGTTTAACTGAGATCTTATTTAGTGCTCCAGAGAAGAAAGACATGAGGATAAGTTAATGATGACAGAACTTTCATTCTTGGCCAAACTGGCTTTTTATAATAATAATTGTCAGTGGATATTAAAAGATTTATACTTGTCTTTTCTTGATAATGCACATTAAAGCTAATTTTTTTCAGATAAAACTTTAACATGAGCAGGACCTACAGTATATTCTTTTCTCTGTTTTCCCAAGTTCTACACACATTGTGGTAAGACCTCAGAAAGACTTGTGGTCGGAAGGTAAATCATGGGAGCAGACAGATCTCTTCCAGATGTTCGAATTCAGACATACACTTACACACACTTGAGAGGGAGCTCATTGGGGAGCGGTGATTTCCCTGGCCGCAGAGTGCATGAGAGGGTGAAGTAGAGTGACTGGAGACAGACAAACACACGGGATGCCAACTTTAAAGTCACAAAGAGCCAAAGACAGTTGCAGACGGAAACAAATGAATAAACACCCAGTAGATGTGTTACTCTCCTTCCTTATCCAGGCAGATTCTCCTGGCCCTCTCACTCAATACCTCTACGCTGTGTGCTTGAAGGTTAAGTGGCTTTTTGAAAAAAAAAGAAAACAAAACACTGGGGTTGTGGTGACCTCCTGTAGTAAAACAACCAATTCTTTTATTCCCTGTGGGAAAAACTAAACAAGTGGAAAGGGTGCGCATGGAGAAAATCTGAGCAAGAGAGAGAAGGTATATAGGAGTGTTTGGGTTGTCCTTTGAAATTGTGTGGGAAAAATGAAGCGGAGGGTTCCCTGACTGGGTGCAAGAGATCTGGAATTTTCCAACTGGCTTTGGTTATGCTGTTGGCAGCAATTTCTGACGCACATTCTGGAGCAAAAAGGTTAGAAAACACGTCAAACGTTCAAGAGACTAATATGCGGTTAAGACAAGGTCAAGTGCTATTGTAGAAACTTGGGGGAGTAATGAGGAGTTGAAAAAATAGATAATAATTGCATGCATCTTTCCATCATGCCAATTCACAATTTAACAGATTGCAACGCCTGTTTGCTTTTCTGATTTACACTGTCTGCAACTAAGACTGTAACTCTTTTACATATCTATTTAAATATCACATACACTGATTATTGAGCCGTGTCACTGTTTAAATTCACCTCAGCCACCCAAACAGGTTTGAAAACCATTTTCAACCAATCAGGGACCCTCTTTCTTACAGCTATATGAGTATGTCATGGGTTTTCTATACCTCCCACTTCCTTTACCGATTTTTAAACTCTCACTGATGTGCCTAAATGAGTTAGCAAGTTTCGACTTTCGAAATGATCAGCAAGCTGGACAGGTAAGTGAAAACAAAATAAGTGATAGTGAGAGACGTGGGGGGATTTTTTTTTTTTTTGTCTATATGCTGTGTGCAGATAAAGTCAACTATCTACCCATCTTTTTAGGAACTTATTAATAAAGGAATAAATCAATGCATTGGTGCATTGAGTTCATACATTTTAATGGCATGCAAGGGCATTGACCTGTTTTCAGACTTTCTCCAGTTTCAGAAGGTGTAAATTGAAACTGATAGTTATTTGTGTGATTGTGGGAATGATTAAATGCGTGTCTATTTTTGCATGCACATGGTTAAGAACCTAGTCTTAACTCAAACGACTAATGACTGCAAGTGTCCCAGTCATGCTGAACAGTGCGATCTTAACAAGATGCTGTATGGGAGTTTCTGAATTATTCAATTTCTATATGATTGAGGTGCCAAAAGTTCCCTTTGATGTTATTACATTTTATGATTATATTTGATTACATTTTAGATTTGTTACGTTTGAAAGTAACTACTATTTTTAGCACAAGTTGTTAATAATGATTTAAAATGTATTTTTTATTTATTTGAAAAATTGAATTATGTATAAAGACATGTTTTCTGAGAATGTATAATGAATTATGCTTATTTTTTTTAAAGACGTAGATATTTATTTTTTAAATAGACTATTATTTTTTTAACTGAAAATTAACCCCCCGCTGCCGTTTGGTCTTTTTTTTTTTTTTTGACCAAAATTTTGTACAATTTTACCTTTTTTTTTTTTTTTTACTTCATCAGAATGACACGAAACTTGGTAAAGTTTTTGGTGCTGTGTGAACACCAAAAAATAATGGACATGATTCGAAAAGGTTAAAAGAAAAAAATAGTCTTCGCAGAAAAAATATTGTTCGCAGTCAAAAATGACTGCATTGAAAATGAATGGGAGACTAATTTTATCTATTGGAAACATTTGGTACTGTGCACAAACAAATTCTTACTGAAAGCTATTTTTTGAGATATCAACCTCACATTTGGAACACAACTTGTTTAGATTTCCAGTTTTAGAGTAAAACATATAAAAAAGATTTTTTGTTGCATTTTTTCATTTCAAGCTTTTTTCAAACTTTTTTTCATCTGCCACGTGTCGTGTTCAAAAAGAGAGCAAATTTAAGTCTGTGCTGCAAATAATTATGATTATGATGCTCAGGTCTATGCTCAGAAATTGAATAATTGGATTATAACTATAATTGACTACAATAAAATCTAAACTAAAATCTAGAACAATCATTTGATTGAAATTTCGACACACAAACAGTACCAGAGGGTTAAAAAATAGATTTTTTTTGCAGTGTGTACTCCGTTATCCATTTTTAAAGAGTAGCCTAACTAAACCCTAAACCAACTTTTTTTAGTTAACGATCTGTAAGAATTGATCTTTATTAATACCAGTCATTGATTCGAGTAACTTTTTTTTTTTACATTTGTGTATAAAGTGTTTATTTATACAATATATGGTGTAAAAACGTCCTAGTGCTGCCCTCTTCAGGTTGAATGGTGACTACTGCAGTTGAATTTTCCTATTGGATGTTCCGCACTTGACGTACGCAGGTTTCAGCTCACCACAATCTTGGTACAGCGGCAGAATAAAAACCATCTTGTTTCGTCAAAACCACTGTAGCGAGTCAGGTGTTGGAATTGCGAGTATTGAAAACGATCAGGAGGACAGAGTGTTTTAGCATCTATTTCGTCCCCTCTATCTCCGCTGGGGTCTGCCCACTTTTTCAGCATTTTTCAAATATTGCCAGTGGTTGGAGTCAGGGGTTTAGTTACCCTTTAAAGGGATA